AAGAAGTCAAATTTGGCAACAAACAAAAGTACCTAATTAACATTTATATGGGTAACATTTGCTGAATTATAGATTTAGATGATTTTCTGTGACATCTTTTGGAAAAGTAACGGCTACTGGCCCCTTAAATATATATACCATTATTATTCTTTCTAACAAACTGAATGGTATTTTCTCATTGAATTTTTCAGATGAATAATTAACACAATACTAGTATATCAAATTTGCCTGAAAAAATGTTTGTGTAGGGCTACCCTGGTGGTGCAGTGGTTGAGAGTCCACCTGCCGATTGAGGGGACACCGGTTCATGCCCCGGTCTGGGAAGATCCCACATGCCGCGGAGCGGCTGGGCCCGTGAGCCATAACCGCTGAGCCTGCGCGTCCGGAGCCTGTGCTCCGCAACGGGAGAGGCCACAACAGTGAGAGGCCCGCAAATGTTTGGGTAGTTTTATTTTGCCTTTAGCTAACTGACTCCTAATGTTCTTAGTTATGAAGGGCTGAGATTTAATGATCCATTGTTAGGTAAGTCATAGTTTCATAGCATCATAGTTTTTGTCGTTGTTGTTTTACCCAATTTCTTCATTTAGAATTAGATATTCAACTAATAAAACATTCAACTAATAATTACCGTGGTGTTATTCATGTCAACAGTCTCAGCAGAACAAGATAAAATTTGGCATTTCGCTGAGCAGTACTCTAGTCAGTCAAATTGGTCTCCCACTTTCTATACCAATTAATTAGATTACTTGTAGAGGATCAATCAAAATGTGTTGCCAGGAAAAGATTAATTATTCCCTTTTTTGTGAATTAATTAGTACAATGTTAGAGTGCTAAGCAAACCTGATCTAGTGAAAGAGAAATGAATGCCAAAGAGATGTTAACCTGAGATATACTCTAGCCAAGAGATTTATCATTTTTAAATTAATGAAAAAATATACCCCTCTTTATTTTAAATGTAGCACTTCTTTAGCCCTAAATGCTCTTGGAATTCTATTTTTTATTCTTTTGCATCACAGAAATGAGTGAAGTAAAAGAAAAACATTACAAACGTTTTTAAACGTTGATGAAATTTTATATGTATTTTGTTACTTTAAATTCAAATTTTAGCCAATAGACCAACTATAACATTTTCAGAGAGAGTGACTTCGTGTGTGAAATGACCACATCCAATGAAGAGGTTTTAAAAAATGCAGATGATGTAATTTTGCAGTTGAAGATCATTAAAGCACGGATTAAGCAGTCTTTTTCCCCCTTCATTTAGGAGGATTTTCTCTGAAAATAACTGTTGCAACTGGTAACCTGAAGACTGACTTGAATCTCTTTAGTAACTTTTTTTTCACCATTTCTCTTCCAAAGAAACATGGATGTTATCTATGATCAGTCAAATTATAATATGCCAGCAAATCAATAGAAATTTAGAAGTAGTTACCCTTTTCACTCCAACTTGCCCATAGTGAGAGAGTAGCACTGCATTCTCTATTTAAGGGGGAAAAAAAAAAAGCCACACACATTCTAACTTCATGTGTATGAACTATTGAGAAATCTCTGAAGTTTAACGTGGTAGACCTTCGCTAATATTTCCATGTGTCTCAGAACTTAGTCTGAATTATAATATATTATAATATCAGATATTATAATATCAGAGCAAAAGAAAGTTGGAAAGTATTTTTAAGTCTTCTCTTCATAAATTATATTTTACTTGATGCTACTTGTAAATAAATATATATATGAACATAGGGCCATATGTAATTTAGTGTGTTTAGAGTAGTCCCAAGAGGACCACACTGTCCTCAGATCTGTCAATTAATACTATATCTTGATTTATAAAATTCTCAGCAGTACACATTCATACTCTGTTGTCTGCTAGGGCCACAGTCTTGCGTGTCTCCACAAGATTCTTTGAAAATGCAAAGACATAACCTGTTACAGTATTCACAGTAACCCAGAAGTAAGCAATAATGCTATTTATGGGCTGGATTTGTTTGTTTATATTTTCAGCTAATTAAGCTAGCTTCAAAGAGCAGGGTCCGTTTGAAATGGTACACATAATTTGATGGGGTTATGATGGGAGGAAAGCTCTGGGACATAGGCTGTTAGCCAAGGAAGAAAAAACTGCATAGAATGGCATTCAGCGACCCTCATACCAAAGGCTAAAGTCAGGAGATGGCAATTGTGAAATTTAAAAATTCAAAAAACCTTCAAATGGAATGAGACAGAATGTTTTATTAAACTTGTCTCCTGAAAGAGAAATAATTGGACTCAGTTTGCTTGTTTCTTTTTTATCTTAAAAAGGAAAGTTAATATTCTTGGCAAAAGACTCAGGAGAATGGATCACATAATTTCTTCATCTAATCAGCAGCTTTGTATCAACCTGGGAACTATATTTTAAACTAGTATTAATAAATCCCTCTAGCAAATTTTGGAGAAAATCTTATTCATAAAAGTTGTATTTCTATCTGTTTTTGTGAACTTACAAAGAATATTCAGAACTATATACTATTTTGGGCAATTCATTAGCAGAAAAGAAAGCAGATTGAGGATGTAATGCATTTCAAAATATGAAATGAGAACTACATAAATTAATTATATTGCTTAAGGACAGCATTTATTTCCTCTAATGGTTTATATTCTTATTTGTAGTGGTATTGACTAACACTGCACATTATATTGGCATCTGCTCCATACAACAAAACCCATTATTATGTACTATTTCATAGCTATAGAGCTTCTTTTTGAACAATCAGAGTACCTTATCATCTGTAGTAGCCTAAAGAGATTATTTTGCTACGGCAAATTTTGCATCAGCTATTTTTTCCTTTTTAATCAAAACAAAATACACAGGCATATGTTAAAAATCCCACTAGTATGCCATATTAAGATAATAGAACTTTATTTAAAGTGAAATATTGTGCTTCTGCCCTTGTATTAAGGTCCTTTATTGTCCAAAATGGACAAAAATCTCTTGGAACATGGTTTAGATGGAAGTTCCTGGTTCCGAGCTAATATGACTCATAGTAAAAATAAACTTTAAACATTAACCCATAAATATTGTTAGACTTATACAGAAATGGATATTCTTTTTTTTTTTTTTTTTTTGCGGTACGCAGGCCTCTCACTGTTGTGGCCTCTCCCGTTGCGGAGCACAGGTTCCAGACGCGCAGGCTCAGCGGCCATGGCTCACGGGCCCAGCCGCTCCACGGCATGTGAGATCTTCCCGGACCGGGGCACAAACCCGTGTCCCATGCATCGGCAGGCGGACTCTCAACCACTGCACCACCAGGGAAGCCCCAGATATTCATTTTTAATTATCTCTACCTTTGCATAAGTTTATTATAATAACTAATAGCAAAAATGTAATAATTATTACCATTATTACTGCCTACAGCCACCCCAATTTTAAAATAAAACATAATTAATAAAGAACTTCATTAACTTGAAATTTGCCATTGCTTCATCCTGTAGGGTAATTATGAGCAAAATATTTAGTAGTCAAAATTACAGTGTCAATATGATTAGAGAAATGTTTAGTCCCTGGTAGAAATAAGCTTTAAAAATAAAGTTCTTGGGCTTCCCTGTTGGCACAGTGGTTGAGCGTCCGCCTGCCGATGCAGGGGACATGGGTTCGTGCCCTGGTCCGGGAGAATCCCACATGTCGCGGAGCGGCTGGGCCTGTGAGCCACGGCCGCTGAGCCTGCGCGTCTGGAGCCTGTGCTCCGCAACGGGAGAGGCCACAACAGCGAGAGGCCTGCGTACCGCAAATAAAAAATAGAAAAAATAAAAAAATAATAAAGCTCTTACATTGTTACTAACACTTGCATTTTTTTTTTATTGAAATACAGTTGATTTACAGTATTATATTAGTTTCAGGTATATACTTGCACTCTTAACTACTAATAAAATGTGGTCATGTAAAGAACTCTGTATTTGAATTCTTTTTTTTTTTTTTTTTTTTTTTTTTTTTTTTTTT